CCTTGAGAACGCTGAAAAGTGGCAAATAAAGTGTTCTGTTCATTCATTCATTCATTCATTTAACCCTTGTGCAGCAAAGTCAGGATATTTTTGCAAAATTGTGTGCCACTGAGCACTAAAAATTAGGCATAAGTTGGGAGAAGGTCCAATATTTGTTCCCAATCCTACAGAAAATTTTTAAAAATCCCTTGCTTAGTGGCATTTTTTCCTGCATTCCTGGCATATGATTTGCATGGGAAAATCCTGAAAACAATGATAGAAAAGTGGCCTCCCAGATTTTTTCTGACTTAGGCCTTGTAAACCAGGTAGCATTTCAATGACCTTGGTTCAAACTGAACTGTGCCACCCCCCAAAAAATCCAACTCCTCAGTGCACTGAAAAAGAACCCTCCACCATCCAAGGGTTGAAACATTTGGGGACACCAGTGGAAAGCTTTTCTAGTTAGAAATGGCAGTGCACCAGTTAATTTTGTGAGATATTGGTCTTAAAGTTCTTCACTCTTTTGGGCCATACTGCCAAGCCTTTTGTTCATGTATTCTATGAAAAGGTCCTACAGCCTGATGGTGAAAAAATTATTTCTTTGTTTTATTCTTCTAATATAAAGATTTCTTTTATTACAGTAACAAACATAACATTGTTGATTTCAAAGTTTTCAGAATATCACAGAGTATAAATTTGAAGAATGTCAAATAAATTCAGTGCAAGATATACTGGATTTTTAAATTTTAATTTTGGCTTCACGCAATGATGCTTAGAAAATTGAATACTACGGAAAATACAGATGGACTCTGTCTACAACGTTTTTGTTTAAACAACAATTTTCTCTGTACAGTGTGTGATGACTTTTTTTTTCCTTGAGGGGTTCTCTGCCACACTCTCACGTGTTCTCTGCAAAAAAATTATCTCTACAACGAATTTTTTCTTTTCTATGATTTTCGTTGTATAGTAAAATCTCATTACAACAAACTTTTGGGGACCACAGAAAAAGTTTGTTATAACGGATAATTTGTTATAACGAGATTTTCAAAAAAATGACTGGAAAAATTTTTTTTCAGCTCAGATCTGAATATATTCTGAATCAGGCTTGTCTTTCAGTTTAAGAACTCAAATGATTGTTTGAAAAAATCAGTGATTTTCTTCTGAACAAAATTATTATTCACTGCTGCTGGCAATGCATCCTCAGCTTTTTTCAGTAGATCATATTTTTCATCACTTGCAATGTCAGAGCATGAGAACAAAATTTAATTGACCAGACACAAGCAATCATTTCAATTGCCTGCTTGATGTCAATGTCAGTATCCTTTTCATCACATGCAATGTTTGCAAGAATTTTCTTTAAAATATTTTTCCTGTAAAGAACTTTCACAGTTTTTATTATGCCCAGGTCGAGAGGCTGAAAAAATGCAGTGCAGTTTGGTGGCAGATACTCCACTTGCACATTATCTTGGCAAGGAAGAATAGTGTGGACAGAGCAGTTGTCCCAAACAAGCAAGATTTTTCTTTTTTTAATTGCATGTCCTTGTTGACCTGCTTCAGCAATTTAACAAAAATTGCAGTGTTCATCAAGTCACACTTGTACATTCTTGAAACAAGGTGGTTTTGCTTATTTTCCCATGATGAGTGGACTCAAATTATCTATCCCTGAAGCATTGCAACAGGAGAGGCCTGTCAGTCTCTGCTTTGATCTTCTGCTACCATGACAAGGATAATTTTTAACAGCCATTGTGCAATTTGGTGACAATTGAAAAAATATGTCCATTTCATCTGCATTGAAAATGCTGTCAGGGCTGTGAGATGCAATACTTTTTTTTTATCTCACTGACCTGCCACTCATTAACTTTTGTGATGAGAACTGGTGACTCTTCCCCACAGATCATTCAGTTGAAATTCAAAATCAATCACAAAAACAATTAAGCCACCCAACACTAGCTAGAAATGATTTGTGGTCAAAGGAAAGTGCCAACTACAGTACATGGCTTTCTCTTTAATTAAGCGTCAATTTATAGGAATGTTGGTAGATGGCACTTCTTGAAACCATGCAACAACAGTCTTGTCCAGGTATTCAGGAGTAGCAGTCCACATTTGCTGGCAATGAGGTCCCATGTAGAAGTCACACAATTTAATTTTTGACAAATTTTTTGAAATTGTTGACAAAGTTGCAGGCATAATTCCAAATTCACTTGCCACCACCTTCTTTTTTTGTGCCATCAACTGCAGTAAAAATGCTTAGCTTCTTATTAAGAGTTTATTGTTGGCATTTTCTTTTTTGCAGTTTTTCATTCCCCATTCTGTGGACTGCCCAAAAATTGTTTTAAAAAACAATATGAAAGGATTTTTGCCATGACTGCAGGGTGACAGCACCATGAATCCAAGGTACATGATTGCATATTTTCGCTTGAATTGTTTTTTTTCATGATTGTTCATTTTCTAGAAGAAAATTGACACATTTTTGCACAATAAAGAGGCAAGGCAAACATTTTGTTTGAGAAATTTGACTGATTTTTGTAACCCTGTTCATAGAACTGCCATGCATTGCTGTGTAGCGACACAAGAAAAGAAAAAAAGCAACGAAAAAATGCACTGAAGTGGGAAACACAAGCAATTTAAAATTAAAATTAATTTGTGTGGCCAAACTTTTTATCCTCAATATTACCAGCAATTCTTTTCATACAATTCTTAGCATTCCACAGTATCCAGAATAAAAATTAAAAAAATTCCTGTGTTCACAAAATTTTTCTTGAAAAGTCACTGTCCAAAGTTGTACTGGAACCTCTTTCACAATGCATGGGACCTGAAAAGTTTTACTCTTTTGTGCGTGCATCTTTATTTTTATTCTTTATAACTGCTCCTGGGTTGGATGTTTGGATGGATTCTGTGGACCTCTTGGTTCACCATTTGATCCTTTAAATTTTAAAAATTGTATTCCAGGGAAGTCATTGCTGTTGGGGCAGTTATTCTACTGTATTAAAGTTTTTTGTATTTGACTGCCCTTCCTGTGAGTTCATGGGAAACAGAATGTTTGGATTAACCTTCAGGGGTCCAAACAATTCTACATACAATTTTGGCTGTGTTCCCGGGAAGGGGTTTCATGGAAGGGTGAAAAACTCTCTCTCTCCTGGGTGGATCCCATGGAGATTTTGAAACATTTTGAATCAAAAGAGGCCTCAATAGAGGCCTCTTTTGATTCAGGCTTCAATGGTGAATAGCACAAGCAAATTTCAAGTAATTTTTCCAAATTTTTCCACAAAAAACCAAAAAAATTGCGTCAAAAAAGTTTGTTATATCAGAATTCCCAAGTTTGTTATAACAAGATTTATTTAACATGTAGTCTATAGGCTTTCTGCCGGGACTTGAAAAAAAGTTTGTTGTATTGAAAAATTTGTTGTAACGGTATTTGTTGTAACGAGATTTTACTGTACTTTGAAAAAAAATAAATTCAGTTTTTATAGAAATTTAGAAAAGTGTAATACAGGTGCACCTTGATAAGTTGAACCCTCTCAGTCAAATCCCTCCCTAAGTTAAATTTTTTCAAGTCCCTGTCTGAATTCCCTTAGAATCAATACATTAAAAACCTCCCTAACTCAACGTCTTTTTCTCTAAAACCTCTGTAAGTCAAATTTTCTGAGGCCTTTTAGTTATTATTTCCTTGAAGTATGGGAGAGAAAATGATTAAAACAAATAATTTGGTGGATCTTGAAAGGAAGTGAAAGACAAATATAGCAAATGAACCCCTGCCTCCAAGTTCAGCAAGGTGTAAACTCATTAAGTAGCAAGTTTAGGCCCAGAATATACTCATTTACGATTTCCCACACTTTTTTTTCACTTCTCCTCCAGTTGAGGAGACAATAAAAGTGTTTTGTTTCCTCAACTGGAAACCCCTGAAAATCAAAATCTCACTAAGTTGAATTTTTTTTCCTGGTCCCTAAAAATTCGACTTACAAAGGTTCAACTGTATTGAGAAACTGTCCGGATGTCAGGGCAGACTTTTTACATTTCAAGTGAATTATCTGGACATCTTGAAGTTTAGCTTTCAATTTGGGGGGGGGGGGGGACTCATTCCTAATTTATTATTTAAAAAAAAGAGAACCTATGTTCTCATTGAAATCCATGCTGTGAGAACGTGATCCGTCATGGGAACCAAAAAAAGGGTACACTATTTAAGGACGCTGCAGTCACTGACGTCCGCATCTCGGGGCCCAGCACCACCACCACCAGCTGCTGCTCTCGCACGAAAAATTAAACAAAAGACGGGTTCGATCCTGGAATCACCTGTTGAGCTGGCAAGCGACGAGTCGGGCGACGTGTGGCTGTCGGTGAAGGCGGAATCCAGGGACGGGAAGTCGGCCGTGTCCGAACCAGCGCCCAAACTGTCTAGGTTCTGTCTGCTGATGGACGCCTCGCTGCCAGAGCCGACCCCATTAATCGAACCCAGAAACGGAAAACAATTGAGAGGAGGGGGGAAAAAAATGCAAAGATTGATGTCGGGGTGAATCATTCGTTATTCAGGCAGCATTTGCACAAATATTTACCCAGCGCGCCAAAAAATGTATCAATCTCGACGGTTTTCTTTTTTCTTCTCTGGGCCAAAAAAACACAGTTGGAACTCATCGTTAATCTGAGAAACTGCTGAAGAAAAAATAATTGGACTTTCTTCGGGGAGGAAAGTTTCCGAGTTGGGAATGAATAAAAAAAAATGGCTCAAGGTTCAGGTTATTTCGCAGACAACCTTTTTTTTTGGTTGATGGCAAAATTTTAAATTATTCAGCAAATTGCAGAAATTCCAGCGAATTATTTTGGGTCAAATGTATTCAATTAATTTAACCCTTTATTAAAAACTTATCTTGAGAATAGACTTAATAGTTTATTTACCAAGACGACTTCGAAATTGCAAATGTTTCCCAAATGATTATTAAATTACAAACTGTGTCATAACGCCAAATTGATGCAAATTTATTCCTTTTCTTCCAGCCAATTCTTTTATTTCAGGCCAAAATACAGTAGATTCCCGCATTAAAAAAATACTGTAGCCTTTCTTATATATTTTGTGATTTTTTTTCTAATTTACTAAAAATCACATTTTTATCAGGTCATACTGTAAAAGAAAAAATTCGTGCATTCAAGAAAAACTAACAAAATTGTCATAAAATGCCTAAAGATTGTGTTTCAACAAGATATTACAGCATAAAATTGGGATTTGAAAATGCATAAGTTTGAAATAAAAGTAATCCTGGAAATTTTGATTTTTTTTTTTTTGGCTGCAGAGAAAATGAATTCGCGGGAATGAAGGGAGGGCGATAAGACTTGTTGATGCTGAGTCATGAAGTGACTTTCCAAATAGCTCTCGCATTCCTCGCCATACGAAAAACTCACCTGGAAATTCGGTCGTTCCTCCCGCCCCCCTGGATCCGATCCAGCTTTTTCTGCACCTTCTCCGAACCCTCCAACTTCTCCTTCTCTTCGTCCGTCAGGTCCATGTGTCTGCAAGGACAAATACTGTACTTGGCGAGGAAAGTTTCAAAAACTAATTCAACAAATATGTGCTATTTTATACAACTGAAGCAAAACGAAAAATACAGCTTTCAACAATTTTGTACTTTCATTATTGAGAAAACACAAAATTAAATTATGATTAAATGTATCATGTTATTTCATGAAAGTTTCAAAATAAATCCAAGAACTAAAGTATTTTTCCCTTAAACAAACAAAAACTTTTGGAAGAAAATACAGATTGAAACTTTCAAAAATTTTGCGTTCTTATTATTAAGAAAACACAATTTAAATTGTGATTGAATTTATAATGTAATTTTATGAAAGTTTCAAAATTAGTCCAAGAACTAAAGTATTTTTCCCTTAAACAAACAAATACTTTTGGGTGAAAATACAGATTGAAACTTTCAAAAATTTTGTTTTTTTATTATTAAGAAAGAACAATTTAAATTGTGATTGAATTTATCATGTTATTTTATGAAAGTTTCAAAATTAATCCAAGAACTAAAGTATTTTTCCCTTAAACAAACAAAAACTTTTGGGTGAGAATACAGATAGAAACTTTCAAAATTTTTGTGTTTTTATTATAAAGAAAGCACAATCTTGAATTGTGATTAAATTTATCATGCTATTTTATAAAAGTTTCAAAATTAATCCAAGAACTAAAGTATTTTTCCTCTAAAAACACAAAAGTTTGTGGGTGAGAATACAGATAGAAACTTTCAAAAATTTTGTGTCTTTATTATTAGGACAATCTTGAATTGTGATTAAATTTATCATGTAATTTTATGAAAGTTTCAAAATTAACCAAGAACTAAACTATTTTTCCCTTAAACAAACAAAAACTTTTGGGTGAAAATACAGATTGAAACTTTCAAAAATTTTTGTGTTTTTATTACGCATTAAGAAAGCACAATCTTAAATTGTGATTAAATTAATCATGTAATTTTATGAAAATTTAAAAATTAAAACTATACATTATTTTTCTAAAAGGAATTGACCTATAGCAAAAATATAGTGAAACTTTGTACAGAGCCAATGGGATATGAAAAACTTTATTACGTATATTTTTAATGCCTCAACATTTAAACAATAAAAATATCCAGTTTTAAAATTTAAAAAAATTGCACCCTTTCAATCCACCGACAGATTTAAAATGGATGTTCAGTAAAATATTGACACAAACCTTATAACGCCATTGGAAAATGTAAAAACGGCATTACGCAAAAAATAATGTTCTACTGCATAATTTATACTTCAGTGTTATACTGTATAATCATACTTTACATAGGGCAGGCTGTAGGGAATCAAAATGGTGGTTATTTGGCAGTAACCTTGAAAAACAAATTCATTCTAGAGAATAATTTGTGGCGAAGCGATTCTCCTGCATAGTTGCCATGCTGTGAATTATATGTATTGTATTGTATTGTAAGCACATAAAAAAATTTTCTTTGAAACTGAGAATACATTTATTCAATTACCACGCGTACAATTCCTTCTAAAATTTTAAAAAGGAAAATACTGTACTTGTGATATTTGAATGCAAATAAAAATTGACTTAAAAGAATATTTTTCCTCTCTCTCTAAATTTCCGTGCTAAAATCATAAAATGTCTCTCACAAGGTACTCGAGTACTGTTCTGTTATTTATTTAATTTTTCCACATCTCAGACGCTTCTGTGCAAAAAGGTTCAAGTGCGCGTCCAAAATTTTCAAAATATACAACCTTGGAAGTTCAAAAAGCGTTATATTCATCTCCCTGCATAATTCAGTTCTCTATAAAGAAAACATGCAGTACAGTACAGTACACAAGACAGAAAAAAATATATATATATATATATATGAAAGCTGAAGTCGTTTTCCTTCCGGGAGAAATAAAAATGAAGCCGGAAGCACGCCCAGGCATGCGCCGCAGTTCCGCACACACAACTGGAGCAAAATGTTTGAAATTCCTGGCCGAGATTCCTCCTTTAATTTATTTTTTTTTTTTCTGTGTGCTTTCTGCTGGTCTTTTACTGGAACCACGCTTTAATGAGGCAAAGTGTGCGTGTTTCTTTTTCTGTCGTTCTAAAAGAAAGAAGAAGAAAAAAAACCTCCAAAAACCTGGTGGAAGAATTTCTTGTCTCGCTTGATTATCATTATTGGTTGTGTCAATGATCTTTAAGTTATTGAGTAACTTCATAGGATATAATTTCCCCTTTCTTTATGGAGGGATTCGAGTTGCTTATGGTTGAAAGACAGGGAATTCTGTTCCATGGATTCCACATATATATATATATATATATATATATAAACGTACAGTATACTGTAAAGTTGAGGCGGGGAATATTGATTTCACAATGGTTTAACCGTGCTTTTCTGGGGCTATATTTTCGGCAGTTTTTAGCGTGAAGATCCTGAGCACTTCCGAAATGCGTGAGACGAAAACTTTGCCTCGGGGAAAATCGATCTCAGGGAAAGTTTGCTTTCCGAAATTTTAAACGGGAGAAAATGGCTTAAAAAAAAAAAATGTCGTCACGTGAAGAAATTTTTCAGCCAAAAAATGATTGAATTTTGGCCCATTTTGATGAGTTTGAAATTTGGAACCTTTTTTCAATGATAAAAAAAGGACACTTCTGCTTTCTCTTGTCCAGAAAACGTGGTTCTTGATTTAAAAAAAAAGCTCATTCATGAACAAGTTTCTGGTTGAAACTTTTGAAGCTTTATTTAATCAAGGCAAAGGAGAAATTTGTGCCTATTTTATAGTCCTGAAAAATGTTTGTAAATTCCAGAAATTGAAGAGTTCATAATTGTCAGGCTTCTACAGGTGGACTCCCTCCAGAAAAATCTTGTTTCAAAAAAATGCATCTTTATAACGAATTAAATTTTGGTTGCATCGGCTTTGTTTTTTCTTACGTCATGGGATTTCTACAACAAAATTCTCCATAAGACGCATATTTTTTGTGTCTCACAACAAAATTCTTTCTACAATGATTGTTTTTCTTGTCNTTAATGAGGCAAAGTGTGCGTGTTTCTTTTTCTGTCGTTCTAAAAGAAGAAGAAGAAAAAAAAAACCCCAAAAACCTGGTGGAAGAATTTCTTGTCTCGCTTGATTATCATTATTGGTTGTGTCAATGATCTTTAAGTTATTGAGTAACTTCATAGGATATAATTTCCCCTTTCTTTATGGAGGGATTCGAGTTGCTTATGGTTGAAAGACAGGGAATTCTGTTCCATGGATTCCACATATATATATAAACGTACAGTATACTGTAAAGTTGAGGCGGGGAATATTGATTTCACAATGGTTTAACCGTGCTTTTCTGGGGCTATATTTTCGGCAGTTTTTAGCGTGAAGATCCTGAGCACTTCCGAAATGCGTGAGACGAAAACTTTGCCTCGGGGAAAATCGATCTCGGGGAAAGTTTGCTTTCCGAAATTTTAAACGGGAGAAAATGGCTTGAAAAAAAAATAATGTCGTCATATGAAAAACTTTTTCAGCCAAAAAATGATTGAATTTTGGCCCGTTTCGAGTTTGAAATTTGGAACCTTTTTTCAATGATAAAAAAGGACACTTATGCTTTCTCTTGTCCAGAAAACGTGGTTCTTGATTTAAAAAAAAAAAAGCTCATTCATGAACAAGTTTCCGGTTGAAACTTTTGAAGCTTTATTTAATCAAGGCAAAAGAGAAATTTGTGCCTATTTTATAGTCCTGAAAAATGTTTGTAAATTCCAGAAATTGAAGAGCTCAGAATTTTCAGGCTTCTACCGGTGGACTCTCTTTAGAACAATCTTGTTTCAAAAAATGTATCTTTATAACGAAATAAATTTTGGTTGCATCGGCTTTGTTTTTTCTTACGTCATGGGATTTCTACAACAAAATTCTCCATAAGACGCATATTTTTTGTGTCTCACAACAAAATTCTTTCTACAATGATTGTTTTTCTTGTCCCAGGAATTTTATTATTTTGCATAGAGAAATAACCTGAGACGGCGCTTTTCACCAATAATTGTTCGATTGTCCGCATGTCGGATCACGTTTTCCCATAGACTTCAATGCAAACATATTTAATTGTTTCTCTCGTTTATCAAAAATTAGGAATGATTCTCTTAAGAATAAATTTAATTTTATATTTAATTTTTTCTCTCGTTTATCAAAAATTAGGAATGATTCTCTTAAGAATAAATTTAATTTAAATTTAATTGTTTCTCTCGTTTATCAAAAATTAGGAATGATTCTCTTAAGAATAAATTTAATTTTTTTTTGCTTCAACTTCAAGATACAGAAAAGAACTGTGCAGAAGAAACCCCTCACAATCTGATGTTTCAGCTTCAAAATAAAAAAAAAGTCCTGCTATAATGTGCACAGATGATGGAAAAAAGAATCTTAAAATCAGCCTGCTTCTGATGATGAATTATGAAGTACCGTAAATTTATTATTTAATTTTTATTTTTATTTTCGTGAAAATAAAAGCTCCATGTGTGAAAATAAAAGCTTAGGGACACTCTTGATGCATCAAGTATGTCCGAATGTTGAGGTCTCACTTTATTGTATACTCCCCCCCCCCCCAATCATCTTTCCCAAGAAAGTACAGTACAGTACTTATTGGTGTACCTCAAGAGCCGGATTTCCCGATTGGACAGGAACATGGTCTTGCCGGGACTCGCAGTGGCCAGCTTGTCCCTGAGCTCGGCCAGCTCCACGCCCAGCTTGCGGGCCTTCTTCCGCTGGCGGACGTCGTCGCGGGCGATGAAGTGGCCCACCTGCTCGGCGCACAGGTCCCGCAAGAGGGCCCGGGTGCCCGGGGTCAGCCTGGCCTGCATGGCGTCGTGCAAGTGGGGCACCAGCGCCAGCACGTCGAACGCGGCACACGTCAGCATGTCGTCTGTCAACGGGCGTCTGGCCCAGTATCTCTGGTCCCGCCTGCTGCTCCCTGTCACTCTGCTCCATCACAACACCACCATCAGAGACACAAACAAAACATGAAAAAAAAGAAAAATAAAAGAAATTAAAAAAAAAAAGATGTGTATAGAGAATCACACGGCATCAGAGGCATTAGGGTTACCAATACTCGCCCAAGTGGGGAGCTATTCTTTGTGTGACCCCAAAACTGGTGCACACTGGGGGTAAAAAACTGGGCTATTCCGGGGTTACAAGCATGCACCTCTGTCAATGACATTTTGCTACCATTCCAGGGCTACATTTGGTGCACAAATGTGACATAACAGGAGTATCCCAAAAATGCGCCAACTGTAAACTTGGTGTAACTTATTTATTACAAATGTGACCCAGAGTAACCCTGGTGTGAACACACACAATTGGTGCACATTAGGGATGTACATGTGCAACAGAAAAACTTTGGTACACTCCAGGGTCACTGTGTAGAAATACAGGCACATCCCCAGTGTGCACCAATTTCCCCACTTGGGTGGGTTTATGGCGTGTATTATAGACTGAGTATATAGACCAGTGTTCCCCATAACCTTTTTGGTCAGGGGTGTTAGTCAAGTGTGCCATCACTAATGTACAGTATTTTCCTTGAGATCTTCTAGAGTTTTATCCTCTACTTTAAATTCCAATGATACACCTCATGAAGGGAATGATAAAGCCTTGTGAAGGTTAAATATTAATTGTTAAGCTAGTCACGTGCAGAGAAGAATATAATAATCAGAATTATTCCAGTTATTCAGTTGAAGCGAGAGTTTGCTGAGTAGTTGTTATTCCTTGTGAAATATACCTTATTCTTAACCCAGAAATTTCAAGAAGGAATTCTGGCCCCTGTCCTGGGCTCATTACCATCTTTTGTTTACGCGCTTTTACTCTTCTGATCCAGCTTGACACTAACTTATATTGAGGCAACATCTGTCCCCAATAATGCAGGCTGGGAAATTTCCAAATAACATTTTCTGCAGAATGACAAAGTTTCATGATAATTTCTGAGGACCAGCAAATTTTCATCATTTTTGCATGCTCAAAAAAGTGTTGCTTGCAAGACAGCTTGAATGCCAGGTATTTGAAAAGCCTCTGATTTTTTTGCAAAATTAATTCAAGGAACCAATAAAGCAGCTCATCTAGTGGAATGTCTTGAAAAAAAAAATGGAAATGTAGGCTTGAGGAAAGGGTTTTCAGACTCAAAAATTAAAACAATTCATTAAATCAGGTGAAAATTTGTCTGAAGTATTAATAGGAGAAACGACAAGATATACATTTTTGTGAGATAATTTTAACTGCCATTGTTTTTCCAAAATTAAAAATAAAGTGTGAAAATTTCATTAGCCTGGAGAAATTTCCTGCAGACTGGCAAAAAACTTGCAAAAACCAGGGGTTGGGGAACACTGGTATAGACCACACATGGTTCCTGCTTGTGAAGCACTCATTATTCAATGAAAATAAAAATTAGTAAGAAAGAAAAATTGGTGAAAGATTGAACCCTTCAATTGAACAGTTGAGATATTTTTTGCAAAATTGTACCAACAGAGAAGAAATTAAACATGATAAATCTGGACTATAATTTCTGTGAGACTTACTGTGAAAAATAAATACTGTGGAAAATGTCTTGCAAGAACTGGACTACAATAAGCGCAATTTCGGTTGGGTGGGGAGGGGGTTAGGAAGTGGACATCTTGTTTGAACCTAGTGAACGCTGAAAAGCGGCAAATAAAGTGTTCTATTCATTCATTCATTCATAAAAATAAAATAAATCCACTTGAAGACATTCAGTTGAACAATTGCCTCAATATTAAGAACAAAAAACAACTGGTCTGTTCCTCTGCCTTTTCAATCCAGCCACCGAGAACACCAAACCGGAGCATCGAAAATGTCTCACGCTTTGTTAGAAGATGTCGCTTCTCGTTTCCCACCGGATCGTACTGGAGTTATCGGAGATCCGTAAATCTCGCAAACCGCAGCCAATCCCACGTTTTTCACCTTGTGCAATGGTTTCCCAGTTTCTTGATGTTCTAAAGCTGCATGTGCTGCCTGTATAAATAGGGAAAAAGTAAAAAAATATATATGTATAACAAGAAAATGTATGAATTGATGTACAACTTTTTAAGGTGTTCAAGATTCTTTGAGTAAAAAGTTGCGAAGAAAATGATACAGTACATCCAATAATGATGCAATTGAAACTGCAGAACACACATTACACCATTTTAAAGTCTTCAAATAGTGAGACCCCGAGATGTGGACATAATTGGTGCATATCAAGAGTGTCCCAAAGTCAAAATACCCCTAAGTTGTTTTCCTCCAGACTTACATCATATACAATAATTTTCAATTGGTGTTTCATAAAAGAAATATTCATCAGAATCCCATGAAAATAATAGGAAAAAATTGTCTGCCAATTGAAACTGATTCAATCAATATCTTTCAACTCAATAAGGACATTTGGAACATTGATTACTGATGTACCTCTGTACAGTGCATTTATTGAAATGTTGGCAATTCTCTATAAAAATAAAATCCAAGTCAAAAATAGAGAAAGAAGTCCCTCTATGCAGGAGGTAATATTTTTTAATTAGCTGAAGTGATGGTAAAATGATTAGAGATGCGCCAAAGAACTTTTCTTACACATATTTTAGGGTTCCAAATATCTGTTCCTTGTAAATTGGCCTGAAACTTATTTGCAATTTTAGCGCACAATGTCTGCATGTCAAATCAGTGTCCTCATGTTGAGCCTTTTTTTATGCATTTTTCTTTTGAAAGGAAAATAAGTGTCTGTAGGTTGAATTGTCTGCATGTTGAGGTTTCTACACGTGGGGGTCTCACTATAATTTAAAACAAAATTCAGAAAGGCTTTCCCATATGAGATGACATTGTACTTGACAATTTCTCTTGACAAATGACAAAATATATTCCGGAAATTTGTGAAAAAAACTTGGTTAAAAAAATTAGAAGCTTAAAACATCACGTTCTATGTCATTCGGTTTTTATTCATTTATTTTTACAATCATGCCTACTCTGAAAATATCAGAGGTCACATTCCACTGGGACAACCCTCATATAAATGCCACTTTCTTAGATGCTTGAAAAGTAAATTTTCTTGGTGACAGTTGACAGAATCTCGGCGTGGTTTTCCCTCGAATTTTGATTTTAAAGTCGAAAGCTTATTTTGAATTGCCTGAAAATTCTCAAAAATTACCATTAATTGAAAAGAACAAACAAATACATCAGTTCACAATATATTTTTTTTAAGCACACGATTGCATTCACGCCTGGAAGGGACACTTTCCCCCAACAAAGCCCCAAAATGATCCCGTGAAAAGCGACTGTAAACTTTCGTTTCCATTATCCCATGAAGTCGCAACTACATTTCACAATCAGGAAATGGGGAACTATACACAAAAGCTGAATTTTATTTTATGACCACATCAGAGTAGGAAAATCCCCGCAGGCGAATGCTCTTAATCACATGTTTTTCATTCAAGATTCTCCCCCCCCCCCCCCACAAAAAAAGAAAAATCCTTTCTTTTCGGCAAGATGTTAATTATCCTTCTTTCTGGAGACAATGAGGCGGACATGATCAAAAGAAATGAGGGAAATGAACCCGACTTGAACAGGAAATCTTTAATGACAGCCAACTCTCCCATATTTAATTGCTGCTATCGCGAGATTATTTCCCAACCCTTTTTCTACTTTGTTTTCTGAATGTAGAAACGAAAATTTTGAAACTTCAAAACACCATCTGATATTTGAAATTGTGCGAGTCGAGAGATGTCAATTTTATCTAAAATTAGGAAAGTACCCTCCTAAAGAAGCGACGAAAATATTGGCACATCAGTATTTTTGAGGAATGAATGAAATAACTCATCAGGATTGCCATGATCGGTAATTAATGATGACTACAGGTAAAATCATCAGTCTTCAGACCAAAAAAACAATCGGATTTCGATTCAAAATTACTAATGATGAATTTTGAGAAAAAAAAACGCATAATTAAAATTCCAGTGGTTCATTCCTCAGTTCAAGGGGAAAATTCCCCATTTTTTAACCTGTTTTGAAATTTGTTTTAAAAATTCTTTGCATGTCGAAGTTGCCTTAAAATATCAAATTTCCGTAAGATAGGATTTATTCAGAAGAAAATCCTCATCAAATTGACAATTTTTTTGCTTTTGTTTTGTAATCGATCCAATTTTGCTTCAGAGAATTTTCACAGTAAATTTGGTAATAAATGTTAACCTCAAAAAGTTTGAAGCATTTCTGATTAATCTTGAAGAATTTAAGGAAGAAATCATCACGGCAGGTCTTAATTTTAATTGATGATGAACAATGGTACAATCGTCAAGTCTACAGACCAAATAATAACGATCAGATTTCGATTCAATAATGATAATTCAACTCCAAGTCCATCAACATTCCATTCCTCGGTTTCAAGGGAAAATTCAGCTTTTTTCTACTTTTCAGAGAATTTTCACAGTAAATTTGATAATGAAATGTTAACCTCAAAAAGACGGCAAAAAGTTTGAAGCATTTCTGACTATTCTTGGAGAATTTAAGGAAGAAATCCTCACGGCAGGTCTTATTAATTTTAATTGATGATGAACAATGGTACAATCGTCAGTCTATACAGATCAAATAATAACGATCAGATTTCGATTCAATAATGATAATTCAACTTCAAGTCCATCAACATTCCATTCCTCGGTTTCAAAGGGAAAATTCCGCTTTTTTTTACTTTTCGAGATGCAAATTTAAATCATCCCTCATTAAAACCTAATCTTGCACTATTTTTTTTTCGTCAGTGTCGAATGGAATCACAGTTAAATTGTTGCGCTGTTGGAGTTTCGATCAAAGTTCGACTCTGGTAATTTTTTTTTCTTGAAGGTCATGAAAGAAAAGACTATTGAAAAAACAACTTTTCATAATCAAAAATTTGTGTTTTTCTTTTTCCTTCCACTGGTTCCCACGGAAAAGGTGGTTCAACCCGATCAAGCAGATAGAATCTCTCTCATGCCATATCAGGAGGGGAAAATAGCATTTCCTCGGTCTCCAACCAGCAATCGACCCAACAAACCGAATCCATAATCCACCATCGGGGGTTAGGCAGTGTGGGATCAAAAGACGAGGCAGCCACTTTTATATCGGAAAAAAATAATAATATAGACATAAAACTTGAATTTAAAGATTAAAAAAACAAGGATGGAAAAAAGGAGCCGGAAATTGTCCCGTTGCAAAGCAGAACGGATGATTGATTTGCACGTTTAGCCGTGGAATTTTCATTTTTATTTATTATAGTTTTTTTTTTTCTGCAAGGCACAGCAGATTTGTTTGCTGTTTGGGCTTGGCTTTTTCGTTCGTCGGATTATCTTATTGTGGAATTTCTTGAGGGAATTTGCGGTTCTTTGAGATTTCTTTCGGGAATTTTTGTCATATGCCAATTTGCCAGGCGCAAAAAATTTGAAAATACCATATGATGAATGATCTTTCACTCGGTTCTTCAAATCGAACAAAATTACGAAAAAAAAATAATTGAGCAGCGAGAGAAAAACTTTGAAATAAATTGAACCCCAAAATTTTTCGATGGAGAAAAAGTCACTTCACAGCAATGCGTATTATTTCAGATTTTTATTACCGTGACCTCCACCTTTTTCTTATATTTTTATAAGTATTGGTTTAAAAAAAAAGTCGCCTTTGATCCGCTGCTGTTAAATTTCCCGGAAATGAACATAAGAAAATGCAGCTTGAAACGCATTTGACAACTTTTTTGCCTAGCCTTAAATCTCAAATTGCTACAAAAAACCAATCTCATTTATTGCACTCATTACAAAATACGTCAATTTTCACACAGTTTTATGAACTTGTGTTGGCCAAGCACCTTAATTATTTAAATACAAATTACTGTACATTGTTCTTGTAAACCATTGATAGCTTATCCCCCTCCTCAAAATTACAGTACTTTCTTGCACAATAGCATCTGTGACTCTTAACTTCTTGACCAATCCAAGGTCTTTCTACTATAAGAAGTGAAAGCCATGAAAGGTTACAGTTTGCCTAATATACATATATATATATAAATATATATAAGCAGATCATCAGTATGGTAATCAATCAGCTCATATCAGTTCAGTTGTTAGCCCAGTTGTGAGAAGAGTTTGCTGAGTTGTTTAATCATTGCTTATGTGAAATAAACTTTAATCTACAGTTGAACCTCCCTAAGTTGAATTTTCTTCAAGTCCTTGTCTGAATTCCCTTACTAGAATTGATGCATTAAAAACCTCCCTAACTCAAAGTTTTTTTCTCTTAAACCTCTTTAATTCAAATTTTCTGAGGCCTTCTAGTTATTATTTCCTTTAAATATGAAAGAGAAAATCATTAAAACAAATGATTTCAAGCATCCTGAAAGAAAGTGAAAGACTAACAGAGCACATGAACCCCTGCCTCCAAGTTCAGCAAGGTTTAAACTCATTAATGAGCAAGTTTGGGCCCAGAATATCCTTATTTACAATTTCCCACTCATTTTACTTCTCCTGGTAATAAAAATGTTTGTTTCCTTGACTGGAAACCTCCAGAAATCAAAATCTCCCTAAGTCAAAAAAATTGTTTTGGTCCCTAGAAATTCAACTCACAGAGGCTCAACTGTATTAATTTAAAAATTCCTACATGGAATTCCTGGTCCTGTCCCACACTGATTGCTGTGTTTTATTGCTTGACATTATCTTATATTGCGGTGACAATCTGTCTCCAATAACTTGGATTGTTGGAAATTATTTTTATGAAAATGTTCCAGTTGTGCATAACATAATCTACAAGATAGATAAATAAGTATAACTCAGAACTTACCTGAGTATCAAACACATTCCTCAATTCTATTCCAAACTGGGAGAAAAGCGATGCGCTGTCATTTCTGCAATCATGCATAACCTGCAACAACAACAAAAACATGAAAGGTTTATTCCAATTTTCAGATTTTTCAAGGCATCACTTTTGAATTGAAAATTAAAAATGTTCCTTTCACTCNTTTTTTTTTCGTCAGTGTCGAATGGAATCACAGTTAAATTGTTGCGCTGTTGGAGTTTCGATCAAAGTTCGACTCTGGTAATTTTTTTTTCTTGAAGGTCATGAAAGAAAAGACTATTGAAAAAACAACTTTTCATAATCAAAAATTTGTGTTTTTCTTTTTCCTTCCACTGGTTCCCACGGAAAAGGTGGTTCAACCCGATCAAGCAGATAGAATCTCTCTCATGCCATATCAGGAGGGGAAAATAGCATTTCCTCGGTCTCCAACCAGCAATCGACCCAACAAACCGAATCCATAATCCACCATCGGGGGTTAGGCAGTGTGGGATCAAAAGACGAGGCAGCCACTTTTATATCGGAAAAAAATAATAATATAGACATAAAACTTGAATTTAAAGATTAAAAAAACAAGGATGGAAAAAAGGAGCCGGAAATTGTCCCGTTGCAAAGCAGAACGGATGATTGATTTGCACGTTTAGCCGTGGAATTTTCATTTTTATTTATTATAGTTTTTTTTTTTCTGCAAGGCACAGCAGATTTGTTTGCTGTTTGGGCTTGGCTTTTTCGTTCGTCGGATTATCTTATTGTGGAATTTCTTGAGGGAATTTGCGGTTCTTTGAGATTTCTTTCGGGAATTTTTGTCATATGCCAATTTGCCAGGCGCAAAAAATTTGGAAATACAATATCATAAATGATATTTCACTCGGTTCTACAAATCGAAGAAAATCACGAGGAGAAAATAATAGAGCAGCGAGAGAAAAACTTTGAAATAAATTGAACCCCAAAATTTTTCGATGGAGAAAAGTCACTTCACAGCAATGCGTATTATTTCAATTTGTTATTACCGTGACCTCTACCTTTTTTTCTCATATTTTTATAAGTATTGGTAAAAAAAAGTCGCCTTTGATCCGCTGCTGTTAAATTTCCCGGAAATTAACATAAGAAAATGCAGCTTGAAACGCATTTGACACCTTTTTGCCTAGCCTCAAATCTCAAATTACTACAAAAAAAACAATCACATTTATTGCACTCATAATAAAATACGTCAGTTTTCATACAGTTTTATGAACTTGTGTTGGGCAAGCACCTTAATTATTTAAATACAAATTACTGTACATTGTTCTTGTAAACCATTGATTCCCCTCCTCAAAATTGCAGTACCAGGTACTTTCTTGCACAATAGCATCTGTGACTCTTAACTTCTTGACCTATCCAAGGTCTTTCTACTATAAGAAGTGAAAGCCATCAAAGGTTACAGTTTTCCTAATATACATATATATATAAATATATATAAGCAGATCATCAGTATTGTAATCAATCAGCTCATATCAGTTCAGTTGTTAGTCCAGTTGTTAGAAGAGTTTGCTGAGTTTTTTAATCATTGCTTATGTGAAATAAACTTTAATCTACAGTTGAACCTCCCTAAGTTGAATTTTCTTCAAGTCCTTATCTGAATTCCCTTACTAGAATTGATGCACTAAAAACCTCCCTAACTCAAAGTTTTTTTCTCTTAAACCTCTTTAATTCAAATTTTCTGAGGCCTTCTAGTTATTATTTCCTTCAAATATGAAAGAGAAAAATCATTAAAACAAATGATTTCAAGCATCCTGAAAGAAAGTGAAAGACTAACAGAGCACATGAACCCCTGCCTCCAAGTTCAGCAAGGTTTAAACTCATTAATGAGCAAGTTCGGGGGCCAGAATATCCTCATTTATAATTTCCCACACTTTTTTCACTTTTCTTGGTAACAAATGTTTTAGTTACCTTAAGTGAAAACCTCCAGACATGAAAATCTCTTCAAGTCAAACCTCCCTAAGATGACTTTTTTCCCTGGTCCTTAGAAGTTCAACTTACAGAGGTTCAACTGTATTAATTTAAAAATTCCTACATGGAATTCCTGGTCCTGTCCCACACTGATTGCTGTGTTTTATTGCTTGATATCATCTTATATTGCGGTGACAATCTGTCTCCAATAACTTGGATTGTCGGAAATTATTTTTATGAAAATGTTTCAGTTGTGCATAACATAATCAACAAGATAGATAAATAAGTATAACTCAGAACTTACCTGAGTATCAAACACATTCCTCAATTCTATTCCAAACTGGGAGAAAAGCGATGCGCTGTCATTTCTGCAATCATGCATAACCTGCAACAACAACAAAAACATGAAAGGTTTATTCCAATTTTCAGATTTTTCAGGGCATCACTTTTGAATTGAAAATTAAAAATGTTCCTTTCACTCAAAACAAGAACTTCTTCAAATTTACCTTGGAATGAAGACTCGCCAAGATTGTATGAAATATATCCTGACTTTTAATATATTGTATTTTATAATCATCTTCTGAAGACAGCTCCTGAATTAAAAAAAAAACATAAATTCCTCTGAAAACGGGTGTTCTAAATTTCCTCAAAATTAAGATCCATAAAGTTGGAATCAAAATGCTACACACACACACATCAGACTTTTTTTTAAACGCATATTCAAAAATTTTCAATCACAAATTTCCTTTAAAGTCTAAAGCGCTGTTGCTTTGCATGATTTAATTTTTCAGAAACGAGGATTGGTCAACATTTTTTTTTGTGTGTGTGCCAATAAACTCTCAAGCGTCGAAACAAAAACGAAGAGGCAGAAATTTTTAATTTTATTCATATGTACTCGTAATTTATTCAATTTATTTTTTAATGTCAGACGGCTTCTTTGACAAGAGGAGTAAATATTCAAATTCCAACATATTATTCGAAAGCTTCCGACATAAAACCACGAAAGTTCGAAAATTACGATCCGAGAAAATTGGGCCATGAAAATGTTTAACGAGAAGGTCGGGTTTTATGGGTAATTTACCTTGACGACGCCTTCGTCCTCCAGCAGCTGCTTCAAGTGTCCCTCGCCCACCAACTCGGGGCTCACCATCACGTCGATAACGTGGATCTTTCCATCAGATGTCCCCAGGGTAATCAATGTTGCTGCTCCTTCAGGCCCAGTGTTCACTCCCTGGAAGAAATGGGGGAAAGAACCAGAAGAACACACACACACATAAGTTTGATGAATTAATTTTATATAAACAAGTACTTCACAAGGGTTGCCCCAATAACGCGTGGGGTTTGATTTTTCTGACTTGGTAAAAAAAGAAGTGATAAAATCGTATTAATTTTCTCACAATGTTACAGGTTTTCGATATTATTGTTGATGAAATTTCAAAGAAATATTCCCAGTATTAAACTGCGTGAAAAGCTCATTTCAGCCAGAGTTTTCTACTCATTCTACATTGAGCTTAAATAATAATTACAGTATAATGACAATCAAAAACTTCAAATTTTGTGGACATGGAATTTTTCCACATTTAGTAGAAATTTCGAAAATGTCGGTGCATTATTTAAAAAAAAATCAGATTTTTTGGGGGGATGCCACAGCAAGGGGTTCATTTTGAATTTCCCAATTTTTATCAGAAACATTTAGATACGCCAATTGTATATACTTGTTTATTTTCAACAGACTGAGGTTTAAGGAAACTTTCTGGCTCAATTGTACAGTCAAATCTCTGTAAGTTGAACTTCAAGGGACCAGTAAAACAATTATCAGTGAGGATTCAAGTTTAGGAAACAGCTATTTTTGCTGTAAATAAATAAAAAGAATTACAGGAAACTAAAATGTTGATTTGTTTGGCCTTGAACTGCAGAATAAATGAGTTAACAAGATGCTGAACTTGGAGGCACGGGTTCATTTGCAAAATCAGTCTTTCAATTTCTTTTAAAAACACACGGTTGCACTTGTTAACGCTTTGTATTAACCAAAAGACCTCCAGAAAATTCTGTTCATTGAGGTTTGAGAGGAAAAGCATTCAAGTTACTAAGTTAGAGAGATTTTGACAATATCTTGTGTCTAAAGGGATTCAGACAAGGAAGAGAAAAATTCAAAATAAGGAGGTATTTGACTTATAGGGATGTTTGAGTTATTGAAGCTCAATTGTAATACAGTGAGACCCTGAGATGCAGACATAATTGTTGCATCAAGAGTGTTCCAAAGTTAAAATGTCTCCAAGTAAAATCTTGTTTTTGCTTTGACTTACATTATATAATTTTTAATTGTTATTTTATTGAAGAAATAATCATCAGAATTCCATGAAAAAAATTAGAAAAAAATGTCTACCAATTGAAACTGATTCAATCAATATCTTTAAACTCAATAAAGACATTTGGAACATTGATTTCTGATGGACCTCTGCACAGTGCATTTATTGAAATGCTGGCAATTCTCTATAAAAATAAAATTCAAGTCAAAAATAGAGAAATAAGTCCCTCTATGCAGGAGGTAATTTTTTCAAATAGCTAAATGGATGGTAAAATGATTAGAGATATGCCAAAGAACTTTTCTTACACATACTTTAGGGTTGAAAATATCTGCTTCTTGTAAATTGGCCTGAAACTTATTTGAAATTTTAGCGCACAATGTCTGCACTTCAAGTCAATGTCTGCATGTTGAGCCTTTTTTATGCATTTTTCTTTTGAAAGGAAAATAAGTGTCTGTAGGTTGAATTGTCTGCATGTTGAGGTGTCCGCATGTGGGGGTCTCATAACTGTATACTATTGCAAAATTTTTCAAGTCACTTCTAAAGAACCAAGCATATTGAATTTAATCACCAGCCTTGAGCTGACGGAAAGCAATTTCTCATGTCAATCTTCCTGAAACAACCTAATCCTCAAAGAGAAAATGCCAAAAGGCAACTTTAGAAACTAAGCAATAAATAGAGACAAGTTTTGGCAATTGCCAAAACTTGTCCTTGGTTATTTCTGTGTGAGCGGGTTTCTCTCCTGTTCACACAAGGAACTGAAATGGACCTTTGGTCCTTGAATCTTTCAAATCCCCAAAAAACAGTAACTGTACCCCAAGCGGGTGGAAGCTGCAATCTAACCTAAAAATCTCATTGGAAATTTCCACAAGAAGACCACCTTTTTTCCTGAGGAAACAACCAGATATATACTTCACTATTCATTGAACCTTGGCATTGTGCAGAACCATGAGAACTTGGCAAACTTGTGTGAAAATTTATAGAAAGACATGTGTGTGAATATAACTTCTTAAAATAGGGTGTTCTTGAGCACCCTGGTTGGAGCCCAACCAAATCTCTTGCACTGTTTTATTTTCCCCTCTGTATGCATTCACTTACAAACCTCTGCAACATATACTACCCAAGAAGACTATTGAAAATGTTAAACTCATGTGCAAAAAAATTAAATTAAAAATAAATACACTGCCGTCGTTTTCAGGAACCTCCTTTTTTTTAAATCATCCTCATTTCTCCTTATATACTGACAACATTTATACTAACAAATGAAATAAAACGGCAGTCTCACCAGGACATCGACGCCACAGAGGCGCTGCTGAGTGACAGCACTGACGATAGCCCGGCTCTCTTTGACCCCAGTGACGACGTGGACAGATCGGAGCGCCTTGGCAGCATTCGGGTCGGTGGGATTGTCAGACCCACCGGGTTGCAGAACCAGCAACCCGGTCGTCGTCGACACCAGGTGCTGTTGGGCCCGATCCCGACCCGCGTTCTCCGACAGCGTTTTCATGAGCACCGAGTTCACCCTGTCCTTGACCGACGCTGACGACCTTCCCGGACCTTTAAACAAAATTAAATGGAATTTTAAAAAGCGAAATTTCAACATTTTTGTTTCAGTAGCGTGAAAACGCAGGAACATTTCTTGTGATTCGCACCAGTTTTGTTTTCCGTGAGCTGAAATATACATTTTGGAGGGTCTTCCTGCGTTTAATTCCAATTCCAATGTCCCTTTTAGCGATGATAAAATTAATCAAAAAACCCTATGCAAGTTGAAAATTAAGACGAGTCTTAAATTTTCCGTCACAGAAGCACTTCATCGCATTGGTTAATTTTTCCCTCAAAGTGTCTGTCCTACATGCATTATTAAAACAATTTTCCTCAGTAAAAAAAATTGATGCAATTTCAGGCCCCTGAGAGTTTTTAAACAAGATTTTATCGCAATAAATATCTGGAAACAAAATGAAGTTGCAAAAATTTGGATTAACTAGAGCAGTCTTCGTGTGTGTGTGTGTGTGTCTGTGAAAATTTGCTGCAAAAAAACTGAAGACTTTACTGCATTATGTTGGGACTTGATAAAGAGAATTAATTTAGAGATTTCTAGTCGAGAAATCTCAACCCTATCCAAATGTTAATCTTTTTGCTGGAATTTTTTTTTAAATTTCCCCTGTCAAATCTAATCCCATTTATCGTTGCAAAAATAAACTCTCAAGAAAAGAGAGGGAGAGAGAGATATATATAGACGAAACCAACAACTCACGTTTATTTTCCGACGTCGGGCCGCCATTGTTGCCGACAGTGTCGTCATCGTCGTCCCTGTCGCAGGGCACCAGTGACACCAGACTCGCGTGGATCTCAAACAGGTCGGGGTGCATGCGGAGGAACGTGGCCAGGTCACGGGCCGTGGAAAAGGCCGGCAGGTACCGCGGGGACAACAGCCGCTCCACGATGGTCGGGCCGCGGGTTCGCAATTCCCGTTTCACGTACGCCACGGCATCCCGGGCCACCTGTGGTGGTGGGTTACGACAAGAGTCAAGAATCCAGTCCCCCTTTATTTATTTATTTCTTTCTTTCTTTCTTTTTTTTAAAGAAAAGGTTTCAGTTTTTACTACAGTACTTGACAAAAGTGCGGCAAGTAGCATCTCGTCACAATAAGGAAGCGTTTGGGATAAAAAATAAAAAAAAATCCCTTATGAACCGTTGAACAAACATGAAAAAATTCTCTGTAATTTGTTCATTCAACTAAACCTCATACAGAAACAAGCTGAAGACCTTGTGCTTTAAATTAATTTGTTACTGATATTTTGTTTTCAATATCAGGGAAGGAATGGGTGTATATGCATACAAGTCAGATGTCCAGTTGTATTTTGTGGATTGTATTTTCTTTTATTTTTGTTATCCATTTTTGCTCTGTTTCCTGCTCTGAAGTGATTAAAATGTCATTGAGTGGATTTGGGTTGGGTGGGAAGGGGGGTTTGGTTGTGGAAATCTTGAGTGAACCTTGTGAACACTGAAAAGCGGAAATAAAGTGTTATGTTCATTAATTCATGAAGGGTTTCTATAGGGGGAAAAACCATTGAGTTTTTCAGAAGTTAAAACAACAACTGAAAAAAACTGGTTCAATTTGCTGAAGTTCAACTGCATTTTTTTGGTATCGGCAAAAAATAAAATAAATCAAGAAACAAACCTGTTCAAGACCAACGTTTTCCTCAATTAAAAGTATATTTAAAGGGTCAAGAAAACCATGAATTCCATTAGAAATCCGTAAAGATTTTAATTGAATCCCAAAAAAAATTAACTCAACTCAGCAAATGTTTTCAAGACACCATCACAAATTCACACACACACACACACAAGCTTCAGATTGGATTCATACTCAGATATTTCTTTTTTTTTTACGGAACTCAGCACATTTCGGAGGTTTACCGCAGTATGGAATTCAGGTTTTTTGTTTGTCCTTCACAGAAGAAGGAAAAGAAGGGATTAGATTTTAAAAAAAGGTAGCAGCTAGTTTTTTATTGGCTGAAAGGGAAATTTCGAAGATGATGACCCTGGATTGTTGATCTGGTTTTGGGGACTTTCCTTCGGGACTCGTTTCCCACTCTTCAAGCTCAGTACCGGTTTTTTATTTCCGGGAAGATACTTTACTTGACTCCGGAGATTATATTGTAATTTATTTATTTATTTTGCGTGTGCACAGCAGTCCCGAACAACATCCAAAATCCATCAGGTTTCATTGCTTGAAAAAAACTGTCTTTAAATTGTGGTCGAGACTAACTGAAACAACTTCCCCAGGGATTAAGAGTAGATGAAATCTGTCAGAAATAAAGTTGCAACAAGAAAGAGTGAGATGAACTTGTTTGGTTATTGGAAATGAAACGATTCAATCAGCCAGGGCAAAGCCCTAGTTTAATGTTGCTATATTTTTCAGGTATAAGACCACAAGTACTTCAGAGAAGTTTTTAAGCAACGAAAACAGTCTTGTCAAAGTTCAAATCACACAATCAGGTGCAACAATCAGTAGACACTTGCAGGGTCTGTCTGCTCAGGTCAAAATTTGGAGATCAAATGTTCTTTTTTTTCAGCAGTTGGAACTGACCATCATATCTTGCAAAAAAAAAACAAGAAGAGGATTTTGTCCTTGTGGACTTTTGTAGATTTCAAAGAAAGAGTCTTGTGATCAAGGATCACAAAAGAACTTGAATAAAAATACAGGCTATCAGTCTTTTGACGGCCAATAACACATATTCAACGGGTTTTGTTGAATATACGTTCCTAGTTTTTCAATCATTTTTATCAACAGTTTCAGCAGAGTTGAATAGATTCAAGAATTCCAAAGAAATAAACACAACAATGCACACAACAGATTTGAATAACACAATTCAATAACAATCAGGAAAAAACAGATTTGTGAACACAAATCATTTAAAACGAAAGATGATGATTGTCCAAGAGTTCAGGACAGACTGACTCTTAAATTCAAATTATTTGGAGCTTATATAATTTTCTTGGAATTTCCTGGTCAGGTGATCTGACAAGAAAATTCCAGAACAACCTTGGATATTCACTGACCTCTGATTGGCCACAAATAGAAAAATTTAAGAAATTGATGCATTGCATCATCAGCTGATGCAGGAGGAAACCTTCATTGGTTTCCTCTCTTTTTCTCTGCAACAAGTCCTAAAAGGACTGATAAATTATGATCAGGAATATCTGTGGGAACTCCAGGTCAACTCTATTCCCACAAGATTCCTGAGAAGAATTAGCTTGCTTATTTGCTAATTCCTGAAACTTACATTTCTGAACAGCCCCTAAATTTATTTTTGACAAATTCATTGATTTCATGAAAAGATGGTTTTTGCATTGTGGGCCTGCCAAATTTAAAAGAAAATGTTTGTGACCAATAGCTGAGGTCATATTTTTATCCTGCAGAAATCATGAAAGCACGTTTTGCTTGATGCAAAACTTGCTTATTGCATTTTTATTTTTCAATCTTTGGAGGTTTGTAAACATCTCCATAATTTATTTGCAGCAGGCTCATAAAAATTTTTTGAATCACGTCGAGAAAATCCCTTTTGACTTACAGGTAAAAAGTTAATTTTCAATCCGAATTGCAAATAAATCATCACTTTCTGCTTGAAAAATTCGCCGCAATTTTGCACAATCGCATGAGTCAGCCAAGAAAAGATTTTTGAAGCTTGTATGACTAGGGTTTAAATTCGCAAAACGAGGTCAACTCTGGATCATCTTTCAATGTGTGCCTTTTTATTTGACCAAAAAGAAAACTCGCATTTTTAAGACGAGGTCAAACAAGATTCTTTGGCTATCAAACCGTACAAGTACTTGACCAAACACGGTCCATTCCTAAATCAAAATACACGCCAAAATTGGTACTGAATTTATGACGATGTGTTTTTTATTCAATCTACTTCTTTCCTTCACTAAAAGTAATTTTTCAATGTAATACAGATGAGGTTCACCAGCTTCAATCTTAACATTCTATATAATACAGAACTTTCTAAAATGAATAATAAAAGGAAGTCTGATACTGTTGAAGTAGAAAAAGATTACACAGTTATTTTTCAGAAACATAATTCGTCAAAAAACTTAATTGGGGACGTTGCAAATCGAGGTACCACCTAATGGCACCCCGATACCACGACAAATGGCACACAAGATATTTCAACTGAACACATGGTCACGTAAGTGAATGGTATGGGAATTTAATATTATTGAAATGGCAAAAAATGCGGATGAAAAATGGGAGTGAAATGAAAAAAAGATCGTCTAGATGTTTAACTCTGATAAAACCGTAAGAACAATATTTCTTTTGAAGACATAGACAAAAAAATTGACGCACAAAAGAAGTGATTTTCTATTCAACAATCAAACAATGCGATACTCAGCGTTTTTTTCCCTAAAATTTGTGAAAAATGGTAGAGCTGGGTAATTTTCTTCAGTACAACTAAGTTAAACATAAGAAAATATATTTCCATGTTTTTCTTGAAGAAAAATCCAAGGATATTGCACATGTATAGTTTTGTGTGTCAGCAGCTTTGTCAATAAATAATGTCCACCGGTAAATTAAACTTGAGTAGGATAGACAGAAACCCAAGGATCTGCAGTCATTCAAAAATAAATAGGGTTGTCAAATATCAAAATTTAATTTATATGTATTAATGAGTTAATAATGAGTTAATAATGAGTTATTAATGAGTTATTAATGAGTGCATTAATATATGTATTAATTTATTAATTTATTAATATTATATGTATTAATGAGTGAAATGCTGATATAAAGATACATTCTTGAATTTTGTGCAAGAGTTCCTTTGTTTAATTACCACATCAGCAAACAGTTTTTTCAGGGCATTAGCTCAATGAAATTATGCAATATAATATCTTTGGCAAGCGTTCTGTGCATTTTAATATGTTATATAATATTAATTCTTGAAAGTCAGAAATCATTCCCCCTCCTCAAAATCACAGTACCAGTTCCTGGCACCATAACATCCTCAACAATAAAATTCTTGACCTGATTATAGGTGTAAAAGCTATTGAAGGTTAAATATAATTTTCAGTATAAAAGAAGCTCATCTTGTAATACTCATTATCAGTTGTGAGTTGTTACTAAAGTTATTCACTTATCCTGCAAGTTGAAAGAAGAGTTTGTTGAGTTGCTGCTATTTACCAATTTATCCTGTGTGAAATATATTTATACTGTACATTACCTTTCAACTAGGAAATTCCTACAAGGAATTCCCGGTCCTGTCCCAGACTGATTGTTGTGCTTTATTATATTTGATAATTGGCATCAACTTATATTGTGGTGACATTTGTAAGGGATAGTCGTCCCGCAAATACCCGTTATATAAATTAATAAAATAACGCTGCCGCTGCGCAAAAAATCCCGCAACGGGAAATCCTGTTCGGATTTCCCGATTGCGCAATGAAAATCCACCCGTCCATTTTCTAACCTATTTTCTACACAGTCTGTTCGTTCGTCTCGAAGTGTTCGCTGCCGCTGCGCAAAAAATCCCGCAACGGGAAATCCTGTTCGGATTTCCCGATTGCGCAATGAAAATCCACCCGTCCATTTTCTAACCTATTTTCTACACAGTCTGTTCGTTCGTCTCGAAGTGTACACTTCTATTGCGTTTTGTTGCGAAATTTCTGATTGTGATTATTTTCGAATCTTGAAAGTTTTCTCTCTTGAAATATATTGTTCTGTTTCTCTTTTGGGATTCTGCCGAGAATCCCCTGCCCTGTTCCCGGGCGGATTGCGTCTCATATTCATTTTTCATCTTTTTGCATCTTTGTGATTTACCTTCCATCACAAAATTGGTAGCAGAGCGTGGTTTTGTTAAAGATTTATCTTCTAATTTACAAACTTAAAAAGGTTTCCAGTAATTCTTCCCCAATAACGTAAAACTAATTTAATTCCAAGATTTAAAATAAACGTTAATATTAACGTCAAATTGTTCTTCGATACGCGAAAAGTGCCTCAAAGGGTTGGAACTCATCTATCATCATGACTCGCCGTCCAGGGAGACCCAAGAATGCCACAGCACCGGGTACCGTGAGTAACTTAAATACGGAGCAACAACCCAACGATGATATTCCGATCCCACAAGAAAACGAAGAGCAAGCTGTAGTTATTAATGAAGTAGAAGTACCTAACTCTGAAATCGAACCAATAGAACCATTGCTCGATGATGATGATGAGATCATGGCCGACCCCATGCCGGAAGATAACGCCCCAAACGAAACAGCCCATGTCCCACAACACAACGCAATATCAAACATCGCTGTCGGACTCAAGCAAATAATCGTCACTATTATATTAAGGATAGCCCAGTTAATTAGAATCGCCGATAGATTACACCCAACGCCCAGTACTGATTCAAAAAACCAAGAATATGGAAAGCTTCAGAGAGATTTTACCGAATTACTTACCTTATTGGCTACGGCAGAAAAGGACGGTATTGATCAAGTCAATCGGACTAAAATACTTCAACTCCAAAAGGAATTAACTAACATTGTTGTTACCCCCTTGGATGAGTTAGTCGATAATTGGCCCAACATCCGTCCCTCATCACAAGTAATTTTAGAGATTGAACTCCCAATGTCATTGTGCCCCCGCTCAGTCCTGTAATAGAAAGGACAACAGATAAGAACCAACTTTTGAATTCAAAGTAGAATACAAAACCCTTGTATGATATTATGAAAATATTGATCAGCTATTGTTTGCGACAATTTACGTTTATTTTTCCTCAAAACAAAATGTTTAAAAATATATTTATTTTTCAATGCGGCATATTGTGCAGAAAATTTAAAAACTCTCTCTGCCTCTCTCAGCAAATGCAGAAAAATCTAGTCACAGCAAAGCTATTACGACCAATGAAATAGCTTTGTTGTATTTAAAATTCGTGATAAAGCAACTCATTCAATATCGTGACCCCCCTTGGGCGAGGGCCTTAAACAACTTTGTTGCAATCAATTATATTAGTTATACTGTAACAAGATTTGTTGTGCAGAAATGTATACTTTCTTCATCACCTTCAACTTCGTTTTTACATAGCTTGGATGCATTTTTTGGTTTCTTCGTAGTTAATCATTCATCATGCTGTATCAAAATTCGTTGTGGAGTGATTCTACTTAATTGCTCACCTTCAACTCTGTTTTAATCCATAGCTTTTCCAAGGATTTAAAAAAAACTTCGTTGCAATCAATTATTCATTATACTGTAACAATATTTGTTGTGCAGAAATTTATACTTTCTTCATCACCTTCATCTCCGCATATCTCATGAATTGAAGTGTATTTTTTTGGCACGAACCCATAAAAACAACTTTGTGGTGATCAATTATTCATCATCCTGGATCAAAATTCGTTGTGAAGATGAGATTCTACTTCATTAATCACCGTTAACTTTGCTTTCTTCCACAGATTGCAATGTATATTTTGGCAATGACCTAAAACAAAACTTTGTGGCAATCAATTATTCATTATGCGGTAAAAAAACAAAATTCGATGTGCAGAGATTCTAATTTGTTGATCAGCAGTTTCAGCACCTTCAGCTGCTGTTTCTTTTTTTTATAGCAACATCTTGAAAATACCAGATACAGTGAGACCCCGACATGCGGACGTAATTGGTGCATCAAGAGTGTCCCCAAGTCAAAATGCCCCTAAGTCAAATCTTGTTTTCCCATAGACTTACATAATATAATTTTTAATTGGTGTTTTGTGGAAGAAATATTCTTCAGTGTAGAAGACAAGATATTGAATGCAAAGATACTCCAAAATATGGAATTAGATAATTTACTTTACAAAGAACCACGAGATGAAGTGATTGACGAAAAGGCAGTCTATGAGGAATATATGACTAAACTTAAAATCATTGATGGCAGAATTGTAGCACCCCTCCCCAAACGAGATTGCTTCGAAAAACATTGTAACCCCAATCTAAAAATGGGTGAAGCCCGCATAAGAGGCGTAATAAGAACATTAGAAAAGGGAGACCGCCTGTCGGAGGAATACAAAAAATTTATACAGGAATGGATAGATAATGGAGTCATTGCACCAGTTGAACTTCATGACCTGTACAATAGAAATCGACCCTTCACCGAATTACCTCACCACGGAGTAGAGAAACCAAACAGTACATCCACCCCCTTGCGAGTCGTTTAACTTCATGACCTGTACAACAGAAATCGACCCTTCACCGAATTACCTCACCACGGAGTAGAAAAACCAAACAGTACATCCACCCCCTTGCGAGTCGTTATTGCCGGAAATGCCGCTGATAGAAATAAGGCAGCATGTAACGATATTTTTGAAACTGGTCCAAAAATACTACCCGACCTTGTTAGCATCCTACTCCGAATGCGTTTTGCGGATTGCATAGGAATAGCTGACGTAAAGAAGGCGTTCGTACAAGTACAACTTGAAGAGCAGGATCAATGGGTACTGATCATTAGATGGCCTGAAAAACAGGCGGATGGAAGCTACTCTTTCAAATTCTTTCGATTCTTACGTTTACCTTGGGGAATAAATTGTGCCCCATTCATTCTGAATGCTTGTATCAGATTTGTGTATCGGAACGCTGTCAAAACTGGCATATATTTTTGAAACTGGTCCAAAAATACTACCCGACCTTGTTAGCATCCTACTCCGAATGCGTTTTGCGGATTGCATAGGAATAGCTGACGTAAAGAAGGCGTTCGTACAAGTACAACTTGAAGAGCAGGATCAATGGGTACTGATTATTAGATGGCCTGAAAAGCAGGCGGATGGAAGCTACTCTTTCAAATTCTTTCGATTCTTACGTTTGCCTTGGGGAATAAATTGTGCCCCATTCATTCTGAATGCTTGCATCAGATTTGTGTATCGGAACGCTGTCAAAACTGGCATATTGTGTAAGGAGGCCGAAGAAGAATTATCCAATAACACATATGTAGATGACGTTCTTGTCACCGGAAATACACCGCAGGAAGTTCAACAAAAGTTAGATATGGCCTGTGAGGCATTAAAACAGGGGGGCTTCATCTTGACAAAATTCAAACTGTCGGGAACAACTGATGAGGAAAAGGAGGAAAGAGAAACATTCAAGATCTTGGGAACCTCTTATGATCCTAATGATGACACAATAGCAGCATCTATCGACAAACTCATGAATTTCAGCAAATTCACACAATTGAGTCGACGTCAAGCCACCGCTATTTTAGCAAAACTGTTCGACCTCCTAGGATTGAACACCCCTTTCCACACCCAATCCAAATTGAGCCTGAGACAGTATCTTAATGACAACCCGAAAGCAGATTGGAACTCTAAGTTGACAGAAGATGAAAGTAATGTATTCCAAAAAATAGCCCTAGACTCAATAGAAGCCTCCAAATTAAAATATCCTCGAGCGCTTAAAGTGAAAAACGAAATCCAAGGTGAGCTCCACGCCTTTTCAGACGCAAGCGGCTCCGCCACCGCAGCAGCCATATACTATGTATCTCGAAGTAATGAAGAGACAAAGGTAAGCCTAGTATGGGCAAAATCCAGATTAGTTCCTCAAACCGAAAAAAAGAAGGAAAACAAGGAAATACGAATAGGGAAATCAAAAAAGCCCAAATCTCCACGAAAGAAGGACGAAACCCTAAAGATAAATCGTATCGAACTCACAGCAGCCTGCCTGGCCATCGAAATCATGAAGATTGTTAAAAAATCCCAAAAATTTATCAACTGTGATATATATTATTGGACAGATTCCATGGTAACTCTTAACTGGATATATGCATCAAGTAACATCACTCCCTTATTTGTGCAATCGAGAGTAAAAACCATTTTAGAGGAGTCTGATAAAACTCAATGGCGCCATGTCCCAGGTATAGACAACCCCGCGGATATAGCATCTCGAGGATGCCCAATCGAACAGCTCAAAGACAACACGTTATGGAGAAATGGTCCGACATGGCTTACTACTAAGAGTGAATGGCCAGAATCTAGAATGTCCGTCCTTATCTCACTAGATTCCACTAAAGAACATGAAGAACTTAAGATACAGCAAGAACTCCATACTATCCAGAAAATGTTCACAGGAATCTTCAAATGGGATGGTATCATTAGTAGAATAGCCGCTTGGAAAAGATTCATTGTATTCATGCCGATTTTAATAGCAGCCGGATTTTTCAAGCATAGAAATCTGAAGCACAAAAGAAAGAAAATCGATTTTGGACCCCTTCGAGAAGCATTTAGCGTTAACGAATACAACAAAGCCGAAACTCAAGCTATCAGAATTATACAGAAAAGCTATGCCTATAAGGAATGGAAGATCTTGAAAAACGGAAAAACAATACCAGAAAAACCGGATTTACACTGGGATAAGACCAATCAATATATTATCTCCTTAAGTAGACAAGAAATAGACCTCAAAACACAAATACCTAAAGATGATCCTGTACGACAAACTCTTATTTATCTACCAGTCCCTAGAAAAACGTGCCACGCTAAGCTCATAAAAGCCTTAATATTATCAATTCATCGAAAAAATGGACACTGCTCAGCTAACCGAATCCTGACAATATTGTCTGAAACATATTGGGCTCCAGGCGTAAGAAATATTGCAAAACAAGTCCGAAGAGAATGCGTTCACTGCCGACGCTTTGATGCTAAACCTTACGACGTCCCTATTGCACCACTACCTGACTTCCGTTATGAAGGTTCCATACCATTTCAAAAGGTAGGCATAGACTTTGTTGGCCCATTCGAAACGTTAAATTATGATAAAAATAACCGCAATATTCATCATGCAAAACAGAAAAGAGATATCCCACGCAAGAAAGGAAGTAAAATCATTGACAAAATAGAACCTATGAAGTTATCCTTATGTGTATTCTCATGTACCCTCACACGAGCTATCCACATAGAACCCGTTAGCGACGTTACGTTGGAATCATTTATTGGCGCATTCGAAACATTTTGTTTCCGTAGACACATCACCCCCGAAAAGATTGTATCAGATAACGCAGCCACATTCCGAAGCGCCTGGCCAAAGTTTCTAGAAGCCAATAAACAACAAATACGGAAAAAATATAAAAGAATTAGATGGTTTTTTAACGCAGCCCGAGCCCCATGGTGGGGAGGATTCTATGAAAGGCAAATGCGAACGATAAAAGATGTCCTAGCCAGATCCTTTAAAGGAATTCCATTTAGCAATACAAACACCTTATTATCAGCAATAGCCTGGGTAGAGAATTGCATTAACTCCAGACCCCTAACGTACATAGC